GGATGATACCTTTCCATATTACTAATTACAGCTTGGCTCAATTCCTAATACCAAAAAAAAAAAAATGTAAGTAAACAAACAAACAAACCTTAAGCTAGTGGGTAACAAATGACCATCTAAATTTTGCTCAGCTACAAGTTCTGTCATTGGTCTCTTTGGTTTGGGCTGTTGGGAATTTTAAGTTCTGCAATATTGAGAAGGCCATATGTTATTCACCTCTAAGCTAGGGAGCCATTCATTTTCCATTTAGAACTCTATCCTGGGCAGCTAAATCAAGGAGTCCTTCTTCCCAATAAATGAAAGCAGAGGGTTTTCCTGGAAGTCACACCAAGGGTTTGCAAGTGAACTTTGGAAATCTGGTTATTAGAATAAGATTCAACCAAATGTGCCTAATATGTACAATGTGGCTGTGTTCACATGTTTTAATAAGATCATGCAGAGATTTTAACAGATAGACTCACAACAACATGCTAGGCTTGTTAAATGTTAGTCTTTTAATTGAACAGCGTGTTGTGCAGAGCCAGGTTATTTGGCTAGATTAAAGTTCATTGTATTCTGTGAATTCACACAATGGACTAATGCAGGAAGCATGTTGTATAAATACAGATCAGCTGTGTTAATCCTGGTCTGTTGGAAATTTCTTTTTCATGACTTTTTAAATGTGTATCTAACAAGTCTCAGCAGATGGTAGCATCTGGCTAGCTTTTGGGGGGTTTAAAAATTAAGTAGAGTCAAACATAATTATTGGATGGGAGACCACCAGGGAATATCAGGGTTACCCTTTAGTCCAGACTGGGATATAGAAAAAAATCCTGGAAAAAGGCAGTGGTAGATTACTTCCATGAAATCCAGTTTGGCGTAGCAATTGCAGAATCAAGCTAGAAACCATGAGACTGTGAGTTTTAGTCCCACCTTAGACACAAACCCAGCTGGGCCACTTTGGGCCAGTCACTTTCTCTTGGCCCTAGGAAGAAGGCAATGGCAATCCTCTTCCAAAAATGCTACCAAGAAAACTGCAGGGGCTAGTCCAGGCAGTCACCAGGAGTCAACACTGACTTGAAAGCATCAAAACAAGCAAACAAACAAACCACCCCAAACAACTACTTCCGTAGTGATGCCAAGAAAACTAGATTGACACCCAGAGTCATTGAGAGTTGGGCAGTATATGTTTAAATATTAATATTAATAATAATAATAATAATAATCTGGTCACCAGGAATTGAGTTCAGTTCGTCATTCTCTACCTTTTTAAACGGCACAAATTTATAGACATGATTTTCTGGATCTTTTTGTAACCTAAAACAGCACACAGAATTTTTGTCCATCAGGCATTTTATGTTTTTTAATCTGTGAGCTGCCTAGAGTCAGATAGTGAGATGGGTGGTGTATAAATTTGATGTATAAATAACTAAAAGAAAGTACGTAATCCTACAACCAAAGAGGGAAGGAACAATGCAAGATCCCAAGAGATTAAGGGAAGTAGGACAAGGAAGGCATAACACCAACAAATTATGATGTTAATCTGAATTGTTCTCATTATTGAGGGATTACAAATCTGAAGTAAACATTCCTTCTATTATTTGAAATGGACTCTCACAGTTGACTTGTCATCGCTCCCTCCTTCTCCCAATCTACTCCTGTATACTCTGTACAGCAACCTAGCACCTAAAAATGAAAGAAAATTCCAAAATTAAAGCTGGCACTGCTATAAAATGGCAAAATAATGAGTTCTCCGGAGCTTTTCATCATGGCTACTTTTGTTTTTTGTGTGGGCTGGGGGAAAAAAAGGATGTATTCTTCCATCTTTATGCCCGAAAAGCCTCACTTGTTAATGTCTATGTGGCTGGCTGTTCTTAAAGGGCAGTAGCAGACCAGGAATGAATGAGGAAATCTGGTGACCCTATGCAGAAAAATTCAAGGCCCAGGTTTTAGCAAAGTTTCTTCTGGCTCCTCTGTGCTTTTTCTTAGTGACAGCAAGCTTACCTCTGCCCCAAATTTTTGAGGGATCCTTTCTTCCATGGTTCTTTCACCGTAAGCTGCTGTTGCTATTCCTTATCATATTCCATTTCGCATGTACAGCCTGATTTTTTTTCATGAGGCCCATCCATAACTTAGCTGCATTCCTTGAAGACCTTACCTCCTCTCAGCCTCAGCAGACTCTTTTCTTTTTTTTTAACTTTCTGATACATGGCACATCACGATGCAGGACAACCATTTGCCTTCCCACATATCTATCTCAAAGCATGCCAGAAATAGTGTGGAAAGCAGCAGTATGTGTGACACAGTGTGATAGCAGTGAGTTCTCGAGTAACCACTAGCAAATCTCACTGCAATTTACCACCTTGCTTTGGCCTGTTCTGGAGTAAGCCTCACATGGTGGTTATTGTATTGACTGATGTCTTATATCTTATTGTAAGCTTAATGCATTTTCAGAGATTTAGTTTGGAATCTCTTATCGAAACTCTTAATACGTTGCTAGGGACTTTCCGTCTCATTTCTTTAGCTTGTAAAATACAATTCGTGGGGGAAAAAGGCCGTGGAAAATTCCAGGCATTTGAAGATTCCACATTCTTCTGCTGATGTTTCTAGAAGTGTCCCCTTCTGCATCAATCCACTGTGGTTTACTTACTGGAATGTCCACATATTTCATGTGAACTACCCCTGGTTTAGCATTTTTCCTTCCTATTTTTAAAATGGGTATACCCAAATACAATTTTCAGAAAATCCTGAATTTAAATTTAAAGCTAATAGCAAAATCTCTGTAGTATTGGAGAAACTTTATATCTAATTTGATAAATACAATATGTAACATGTTGTAAGGTATACCTGACTTTTTACATATAATATTCAACATTTGTGTCATCTGGAGTATGATGATGAATGTATTATTAAATTCTAAGTCTTACTGAAACTCATAGGCAGGCCTCTATGGATTGTGCCCCATACAAGTATTAGTGATTAATATATACTTTATTGCCTTATACAGTAGGCTAAATTGATAATAAATTTGATTTTATATAAGCATAGCTGGATGGGAACAGTGATCCCTAGGACTCATTTAACAGAAAATGTCTCAAGGTGGAGATTTACTGTATCAGTTTTAAGGAGTAAGATACTTGCATCTAATGCTTCGAACATATAAGCCTACTCCCCATCAGCGAGATTGGGAGATTAAAATACAATAAACTCACAGTTTAATGGACCATGGTTTAACAGACTTTGGATGCAATGGAAAAAACCTGTCTATACTTTTTATGCTTCTGCACATACATAAAACCCCATTTGGCATTTTATGCATTTTTTTTTTAATCCATTCAATCGTGTCCAATTTTTGGAGACTGCCTGGGCAAGTCCCTGCAATTTTCTTGGCAAGGTTTTACAGAAGTGGTTTGCCATTGCCTGCTTCCTAGGGCTGAGAGGGAGTGACTGGCCCAAGGTCACCCAGCTGGCTTTGTGCCTAGGTAGGGCTAGAACTCACAGTCTGCCAGTTTCTAGGTTGATGTCTTAACCACTACACCAAACTGGCTCTCTGTATGCTTCTGCACATGCATAAAACCCCATTTGGCATTTTATGCATGTACCTGTATAGAATTCCATATGTCATTTTACACATGTATGAAATACCATTTGGATTTAATGGGCATTTTGCCATAATGGATGCCCTCCCCTTCACCCTATTATTCTGTTATTGGTCTGCTAAATGAAAGGTTTACTCTCCCATCACATTGCTGGAGTAAAGTTACTGTCTTTTCTGCTTGGTCAGTGTCTGCAAAGGAAGTAGCAGTTATCCCATATTGTATTAATAAGGAAAGATGGCACATGATGTCTGAACCTTACTTGACCTATTATTTTCTAGTATTATAGTAGATTTTCTTTAAAATTAGGGATACCCTTGACAGGAATTGATTCCTAATAATAGTGTTTAAAGAATTGCTCTTCCATTGTTAGAAGGGAATGGAATTGGAATTGACTTTCCACATTACTGGGGAATATGCTATGTAATATAAATGAATGAAAATGATTTCTAGCATGTCCCTAAATTATGTTTTTTTTTAAAAATCATCAAAAACATTCACCATGATGGTGAACTGTAAATTATTTTTTCATATAATTTAAAAATGATGTTTTGCATGGTAGCACCTTAAGGACCAGTCCCATAAGTAGTATTTCAATACATTAAAAATATATTACCTAGGTAACCAATATATTTAAATATATATATGGGGGGGGGGAGAGAGAGGGAGGGAGAGAACTGGCTAATTAGGACTACTAAAAAGGGTTGTTTTTTTTTAAGTGATCAAAATGCTGGCACAATTATTGAAGTATTGAAACTTGCCTATATTAGGGTCGTTAGAAAGGCACCATTAAGGCCATGTGTACTTGTGAAGATTCTATTATTTTTGCAAAACAGCTGAATTTCCTCTAGTAAGGAAATGGTAGAAGCAGCAGTGAGAAAACGTGGGAGTATTACTGATGAATGACAATATCATGTGGTTCCTTCATAAAATGTGAGTGATTGAATCACAGCAATTCTACATCAAAAGCTCACATGGAAACCCCCAGGATTTCTTATTCAACCTCTTCCATTTTTATGGAATCATTCCCAGCCTATTAAAAGGAGAGCAAACCCTGGAACATTTCCTTTCCTTCTGCTACCTTTCTGAATCCACTGTGCTTATCTGGCTTGGGAACTTTAAGGCAGTTGTGAACATTCAGTCTGGGGTTATTTTGATGAATTGGCTGGAATCAAGATCTGATCAGAGGATTTTGCAATGGCATTGCAAACTAGCCTCAAGGATGGGGGGAAGGGAAGAATGACCTCGGGCTTGGTTTCCAAAACAAACTCTTTTCTTCATGTTATCGTGAGGTACAATCAGACAGTCCAGTGAGGGGAAGGCTAAAGATTAGTCTTGCCCCTTAAGTTGCCTATATAAGGAGACTCTCAAAAGATTTACTTTGCTCTCACTCTTCCATTTTGCACTGCTTCTGCAGGTGAAATCATGCCTACTACTTTTTCCAGCCACAGTGTGTCCTTTCCTGGAAGCATCCAGGGACCCAGGGGAAGAAGCCTGCTTGCCTTAGGCAGGTCTCAGGCAGTGCCAAGTATCCATAGGGCTACTGGGAACATGGCTAAGGATGGGCTGTCACGTGGCTATGGGCAGGCATTTATGGACACAAATACTCTGGACATGAATGAAAAGGGCACCATGAAAAATCTGAATGACCGCCTGGCTGCCTACCTAGACAAAGTAAGTAACTGGATAATGTTCCCAGTGGCAAAGTCAGAGAAAGAGTAATACTATAAATATGTATGTATGTATGTATATGTATGTATGTATGTATGTATGTATGTATGTATGTATCGACCTACCTACCTACCTACCTACCTACCTACCTACCTACCTACCTACGGCATTCTTCTGGAA